CCCATCGAGTTAATTAACAGTCTATTAGACGGTCTTTCGTTCCGTCAGTCAAAATGTCAAGCGAATTGGACGCGCGTCAGATTTGAAGTCGCCCTCGAAGACATTTGTTGAACGATTTTCACTTGGGTTTTTCTTCAGAGTTTTTGCGCTAAAGGCGTCGTGGCTGGCTGCTAGTCCGCGGGTATTGGTTTACACGAGTTCCTGAGTTCGGTGGTCCCGAGAATTAAATTTCATCGTTGTGTAAACACGAGGAGCAGACGAGTAGCATACGGAATACCGCAGAGACTTCCTCGGGTTAATTCGATCGGATGATACGTGCCTCGATATGGACTCGTTTCTTTCACGCGCGCTTCTTCGTGCGATAAAAATAGGTGGTAAACGACGTTTCCGCCTTTGGCTTACATTGGTCTTCCATTTCGAGAGAAATTAAGAATTCAGTGGCGTCCATTATGCACCGGTGTGGATAGAGATGTTTAATTTCACGATAAAGGCACAATTTATGGAGAACGAAGAATCTTGGAAATTCTCAAAGGATACATGGACTGAATTTATATTATTGTGGAGTTATTCGATAGCTTCTCTGTTTTCAACGATGCTGGAAAGTGTTTAAAAGATAATCTGAATTGTTTCGAAAGAAAGGAGACATTTTTTGACAATCACCTTTTGCAAATTTTTTAAGGTCACAGTTGTTTTTCGTAATGATAATCTTTTTCGAATTTTTCAAGATCACTGGCATGTTTTGCAGAAAAGCAAATATTTCTTTTTATTACAATTTATATTTGCTCTCAAAATGTGACCGAACATATTCGGCTTGTGACCTTCAGATGACCCTATATGCCAAAAGGTGATTGAATTTCAAGATAGCGTTAGGACAATAAGTACACTTACTGCTTCGTTAATTCGACATTCAAAGTGACACCCATCGGTCAAGTAAGATCAATTTTTTCAGGAATTACAGAAGCACAGGCTCTGATTAGTCCATTCACTGCATCTTCTGAAATTGGTGGTTAGGCAATCTATAAATACAAAATAATTTCGACTATTTTATATACATTCGAAGCTTGTTCATTTAAACTGGGGATATCTTATATGCAAATAATTCCGTTTCGATTGACGATATTTATATTCGCGATAACATTCATTTTCTTGGCGTCATCATCCCCGTCGCGACCTACGACGTCGTCAAATTCCAGACCCGCTGAATTAAATAATGAACCAGCTGAATACAATTTCGTATCGTTTCATAAAACGTGAATCGTTATCAGACTTGTTTGCCCTTCTTATCTAATGTTTTGACAAATATTATAAATAACCTTATTCCTATATATCGACGTTAATTATTGCGTATTCTTCGCTGAGAACAATTAATAATTACTGTACATAGATAAATTGGAATTACAGGACCCAAGATACGTTCTACCAGTTCAAACGGAGACTTCAATTTCCGTCGTTGGAAACGCGGTTTAAGGACACGGCGCAACGTTTACAGAAGACAAGCGCCGCGTAACATTCTTTTTCTGCAATTCGCAAACGGTATGCGTCATAAAGAAAATGTACTTTCGTTGGTGGAGCCGTGACGCAACGTAGCGAGGCCTCGAAATTCCCGGTTTATTGTTTCTGCTGGGCAAAAAGGAGTCCGGCCATATCCACGCCGACCAATCGCATAGGATAGGTCATGGCGGTGGTTTATTTGGAAAGACTTCGAAATTTCTTAAACACCTCGCGAGAGGTACTTGTCGACGAGTCAACGCGAAAAGGAGAATAGAAATTATTATCGTTTTTATCGGCGACCAGTTTCAACTCGGACGTTTTTGCTGGTTACATTTAATAGTATAAATGAAACTTGAATTAAAACCTTACCATACTGTACTTGGTATTTCAGATCGTTTTATGTATCCTTCTTGGATCCAATATTCTTATACGAAAGAAACGTACGTATTCAAATTAGGTTCATGCTTAATGGAATGTTGGATATTTTTGAAATGTCCATGTTCGAAGCGTTTCTATGGAAAAAAATAAAATGGTGTATTTGTGTAGAATATTTGTTATTACGAATAAATTAATTTAATAGTGCGTTGGTTTTGAAAAGGATAGTATACAGAGTATCATCTATCTTTTAACCGAGAAGAATGAACGCGACACCTGGCGATCTTATGAAATGGATTAACCGTTGAGAAAGTGGCTACAGCGAGCGACGAATTTAGATAGAACGCAAGCAAAAGACAATTAAACTTTCGCCGAAAGTTCGAAAGCGTTCCACGTAGCCCCCGGGCGGCTACGAAGAGGAAAGGACCGAGTTGAAACACCTACAGAGAACGTCGTTTCATTTAAATGAAAATTAGACGTCGCCGTCGTGTCATCGATTTTTCCCTTTGTAAAAGCTCGCACGCATACACGTGGAAAACAGGAATAGATCTAAAACGATAAACGATCTTGGCGTAAAGATTCCGTGTATCTGGTAATTTATATGGATTTTGAATGTAGATTACGTAAAAAATTATCTCGCGGGTGAGTCTACGATTTTTCATTCGAATTGGCTCGGTAAATTTGAAAAATAAATCGGAAGGTATTTATTACCGGCAAATTGCAATACCTTTTCTTATAAAGAATCGAAACCGTTTTAATTTAAGATTAAGATTTTCCCATGGAGTAGAATGAGTTTGAAATTAATGACATTGTTTTCTCTTATGATCGTCACACACGTTCGCTTGTTCGTCATACCGCAAAATTACAAGAACCGATGCCAGACAATTTTTATCGGGAGCCAGATAAATCATTATATGAAATGTTTTTTTAAGATAATCTTCTTTTCGTTACCTCGAAGGCTTCCGTAATTTGCGTACCTTGCAATTGCGTACTCGTCTTAGCCCGCATTGTCTGCAGACGTCACGAAGGTTCTCAAGATCATTTGTTTTTGTGAAAGAGGAGAAAGAAAAGAACATTTTAAAACCTCGTTCCGAAGAGCATTAAACATCGAAGAGTCAGACGTGCAAACAAATGTAAAAATGAAATGCTTTTCTGAACACAAAACATTACTCGAAATTCTACGTAACAAACGAAAATATACTCATAAATATTAATTAGTATCTATTAAATAACGAGAAAAATAAATATTCTTTTAAATATTCAATACATTAAAAATATCACTTTTTATATATTTCATGAAAAGCTATTGATCGCTGAAAATTTAATTGCATAGATACAGTTGGTTACCGTTCGAACTATCGATTAGTTTGAAGAATTGTCGCGGATGGCGCATGTAACGTGTCGTATCATGAAACGCGTTTGCGGAACTACAAACGAAAAAGTGGAACATCGCGACGATCGAAGATATTTTGAGAACCTGGATAGAAGTTCGGAGGATTCGTAAGGAGCAGAGGAAACGCTAAGATGGAAGTTGAGGTGTCCTCTCGAGTGTTTTCGCAAGACTGGAGTCGAACCCTTGGAAAAACAGACGCCAAATTGAATCCCTCGTCTATAAGAACGTGATGTCTCTCCCTTATCTATATAACTCTACCACTCGAGCCTTTTCCTCCAGGGTTTCTGGCGTTTCTTCATCCACGGATTACACACCTATCTGTATTTCTCGAGCAAGAAGTGTCGTCATGTCTTTGAAGCCGGAACTTCAATAAATTTTTTTGTTTCAGATCATTGCAACGATCTAATCGATAAAATTAACAATTTGAAGTTATAAAAGTTAACGTACATTGTTAATTATCTAAAGATACCAAACACAACTATGAAGAAAAAATATGTATTTTTGAAAATGAAACAAGTATATTGGATCTAATAATTGTATGAAAATTGATTGGAACGTATAAATAATTCCGGAAGATAGTACACAAGTATGTTTTATCGTTACCACTAGTTGCAAAATATCGATGACTAGTACAAAGATTATCACTGTGTTCTCCCGCAAATAAACACTTTCAGATGAAGCAAGAATCGATCAGCATCAAAGCACCACGTGTTCGTTTAGTATCACTTCTAGAATCCTGTGACATCCTTGGATTCCGTTAAACTGAACAACGATGAAAATTCTCAGATTCTCGAAAAAAGCTTAGCAGTCCACTATGAGTTTTTGATCTTGACAAATCCGTCGATTTGACGGTACCGAGAAAAAGTATCCGACGGCCGCGAAGTCGCGCGCGGAAAAATTTCGCGTGTGCTCTCACACCACACAGGGCGACGCTCATTGTCTCGCTTTTGTTGCGTCGGCCCTGCGCGAGCTGCGAGGGCGTGACTAGGTTAGGACCGTGGTTCGATTCTTGGCAACGTAGCCGTAGAGGCGTCCACGCTTTTCCCTTTAATAACGGTCTTCTGATTGGTCGACGCTCGTAGGTGGAGTCACATGATCGCTGCTGACCAATCACAGGAGCCGTTGAAAAATAGGCGGCAGACCGTAACGCGTTCTCGTGATTTTTCGAAGAGAAGCGCCACGCACGGGTCGCGCAGCCGTGCTCGCCGACTCTGAACACTTCGCTTGCTCGCGAGGCCGAGGCCCCAGTGTGTTTTTACTCGGGGTTGAGTAAACTCCGACCTGTTGTGTATCATAATACGCGTGCACGCGGGTTTACGGGTTAGCCTCGCATCGACCACTGGATGCACCCTTGTCTCGCACCACGCCGCCTGTCTTCTTCGATCGACGAGAGTAACTTGCACAGAGTAGAGAGATATTCCGAAGCGTCAACAAAACACCATTTAAACAGCTAACGAGTAAACGAACCACCGTCTCCGTCTATCGGCAACGGAATTGATAATTTACCGACGACCTATCGAACAACTGGTTACGATGCCGTTCGCTCGTATCGAGAGTTAAGTGAGTGATTATCGGGCGTATTAGCCGACCGACTTATTGAGAAATCTCTCCTAGTAGAATTCTCTATATCGCGATACTGATTCGATGTTGGACTGTGACAAAGTGTAATTTGCATAAAGTGACTGATGGAGATCAGTGAGTGAAACCTGTATGAAAATTAAAGTTCACTGCCACTCCGAAAAGCATTAAGAACATTCAAGGTACTAAAAATGCCAATTATTGCATTAAAACAGTTCTAACGACACATATATCGTCGATAGTGATCTAAATACGGTTATAATAATTCATAACAGGTGCCACTAAGTATCACGACAACTAGAATTTATTACATACATAAAAATGCATACATTATTTAGCGAGCAAAATGCATATTATAGACACGCAACAGCCGTTCCTGTTGGGATGGGAACTCCATCATATCCAGGAGTGGGCGCTGCACCGGGATATTACGAACAATATCGTTACGGTGGCTATGCGACGGCGGCAGGGTACCCAGTTTCAGGTATAACCCAGCAACATATTCATCATCCTGGTAAGGATATGGTAAAACCTCCGTATTCGTATATAGCTTTGATCGCAATGGCAATACAGAATGCGCCCGATAAGAAGATCACTCTGAATGGCATCTACCAGTTTATCATGGAACGCTTTCCTTATTATCGCGAGAACAAGCAGGGCTGGCAGAATTCTATCAGACACAACCTCAGTCTAAACGAATGTTTCGTGAAGGTACCAAGAGACGACAAGAAGCCCGGGAAAGGAAGCTACTGGTCACTGGACCCGGACAGCTACAACATGTTCGATAACGGTTCTTATCTCAGACGTCGTAGGCGCTTTAAGAAAAAGGATGCCCTGAAAGAAAAAGAAGAAGCTCTGAAGAGACAAGGTTTAGTACCAGAAAAGCAACGTAATCAAGAGGAAACAAAACCTAACAATATCGTCATCCCGCCGCCGTCGGACGCTTCATCCAAGAAGTTGGGTGCCATGGAAACGACTTTATGTAAACCGAAGAGAGAGCCAGTAAATGACGCTGGAAGTCACTGTATGGCTGTACAAGCGAAGTACGGTCTTCATAGTCCTATTCAGGACACAAAGACAGCAGTTACGACGACGACGGCCGTCGCAGCAGCTGGCCAAAGTGTTATCCAAACCGCTCTGGGTCACCAAGTGCACCAAGCTCATCAGGTTCACCAGGATGCTATTCAAGACGTATCTATGGGTCTAGATCCTACTAGTTTTAGCGTAGATGCTTTAATGACGACACGGGAGAACAGCGCCGCCTTGATGACCAGAGAGAATCAGCATCACACGCATCATCCACACGGTCTTCAGCATCCTCACCCTCACCCTCACCCTCACCCTCACCCTCATTCACACTCGATCATGACGAGCAGAGAGTCGATGGGCACGGGGGTGGTGTCCAGGGACCACTTGCCATCTGTTTGCACTACCACGACCACGACGACAGCCGCCGTCGCAGCAATGATGGCGACTACCGGATACGGCCACAGCAGCAGTGTGTCCAGGAGCAATGGTTCGCCGCCCGGAACCATGTACGCGCCTTATTGCACGCCCACAGCTGGTTACATAATGGATCACGCAGAATACAATTCAAGAAACCATAACAATACCGCAGGACACTCGCAATGGTACCAGGAGGCAGCCAGTCCCGACGCCGCAGCCATTTATCAGGATACCCAATCGCCGAGCTGTCAGCTTTACAGGTAAGGACGAAGGTGATGGCGTATTATTTTATTCTTCATAGTTCTACCGTTTCCTTTAATTGATAAATAGCAGTGAAATACAATAAATAAAATGTATACATGATAGGAATAAAAAAGAAAGTCAAAAAAATTTAGTTATCTAAGACAAAATTGTTTATCTAGTGAAGTGAGATTATTATTCATGATATACTGACAAACCTTATTTACGGAATCCTACCTTTAATAAAAGCCATATTGATCGGAAAATATCCGTACTTTCCAGATCCAGCCCACCAACTCCACTCTCGTCGAGTGCAGCTCCATCTCCACCCTTGTATCACCGGTACTATCAAGACTGCAACACCGTCAACACTAGTGGCAATCTACCTATCACGTTGCATAAATACTGAGAATACCGAAATTCAAGGCCTCACCATCGGGGCCTTGAAGAACATCATACCGAACACTACGACCCGAGCTTGGTTTACGTGAAGCAGGAGTGGATACCGTGCACGGAAGAGCTCGCCAAAGAGTGGAATTAGATAAGTCTAGACATCCATGATAATATGGCGTGAAATTAACAGTAATTTGAAATTCGATTCGCGAAACTGTACGAACTACATGATACGTAACTGTAGATATTTAATCATTCACGTAACTACAAACCGTGGATGTATACGTAGTACATTGTAGGTACAGTAATGAATATTAACGAATAGAGAAAAATTTCTTAGTGATTCTGTCAAAGAGAATGCTTACCACGAATTATTTAAACAATTCAGCGTAAGAATGTTTACTGATTTCTACTTCGATTAGCAATAGTTGAGTGGAACTAGTTCAACGTGTTTTATACTTTATCAAATCTTGTCCTGATTCTATGTCGATCGAAATGTTGTAGTAAGAAATGAAAAGCACCGCAAATAAGTGTTGCTGTATGCCAACTCGTGTTCGACGAACACTTGACATTTTTAAGACTATCGCGATCAACGAACACGTGTCCTTCGTCTGAACACAAAAAACTCGGTACACGTGTACTTACTTGGTCTAAGAACCTTGCGGATTGATACATAACCTCGAATTAGTCGCCGCAAAATTGCGGCAATTTTAAATCGTGTTTTTACTAGAGCCGTTAGGAAAAAGAAAAACGAATAGATTGATAGAATTGGACAAACGTAATTAGGCACACATATCATTCTTTAACTATCATTTAAATAAAATTGCAACGCTTTTGTTGTGTTTTGGATTCATTTGAGACGACGTTATGTCATGAACAATTTAATAACGCGAGGAAACTCTATAGAAAAATCAAGGATACCGTGAAACATTAGATTAGATTGAGATCTCGACACATCTATGTTTTCAACTATATGATCGCTTTTACCACACGTAGGATCATTCATTAATGAATTGGAAATGCGAATGACGCAAGATATGCCATGAAAACAGCTGTGAATATCAATGATGATCGTCATCACCTGAGCAAACAAAGGCAGGTCTCTTTCCTGATCTACGATAATTTCGCCCGATTCGAAATTCCTTTTCAAGAGATGATCATGTTTACACCGAGATACACACGAAACTGCACATGGTGCAACTGTGCAAACCTACAACAAATTAATCTGACAGAAAAATATCTTTCGAGAAATGCATGCGATCCTGTCGAAATTGTCCATTTCTGACTCGAAGTCCTGATTAATATCAGTGGTGTAACAGAAGCTGATTTTTCAATCTAAAGTAAAAGAAGTAGTAAAACAAATGTGTGGATTATCGACGCATTTTATTACATGAAATAATCTTAATACTACATCAATATGATTTTCAAACTGATACATATTAGTACTTCGAAGTATGTACATTTGTTCCAGCAATCTTTCTTTTTACATTCTTTCATATTAACTTCATTGTTAAATATATATTTATTGATCTTTAGCTTTAAATCGCATACACCATACTGGGAAAGATCCGCAATAATGCTCCCGATTGTAACAGTTGAGGATTAAGTATATATTTTATTATACTTGACGGGAAATAAGAAGTTTAATAAAATTCCTCGATTGGGTTGAGAATCGGAGAGTGAAGAAAAATCACGTTGATAATTTGTATGGACCGCGTCAATACATTTTTACGTCAGGAACATAAGTATGTCCTTACTTTTATAAATGATAAAAGTTTCCTCCTAGTTAATTGAATGGAATGAAACGAGCGTGATACAATTTCGTTGTAAAAAGTGATATAATCGTTTCCGGGAGCTTGTGAGAGTTGCGTGTCTCGTCATTTGTGCATTTATTTGTGTAACGTCATTCCTTGCAACCAAAGCGCGATTTGGCTGCGCGAGATTGGTCGTTCGACGAGGATTAAAATACATATATATAATATATTTATTAAAAACGGATCATGTGAATAATTAACGATTGAAACGGAATCGTATCGTAGATAGATCTCTGCGTGTATATTATTAAAAAGAGTATATATATATATATATATATATATAAATATATATAGATATATAGATTGTATAGATAAAGCTATATATGTATAAATAGACAGATCTATATATACAGAAATGTATTGATATTACGATTAGTAATAATAATCGCAAACTTATTAAAGTAGGATGAGTCGTGCGAATACGAAACCTTACGAAATAAACCTAATGAATCGCAACGAAAACACTAGTGTTGTTTCTTAGAGATATCTCACACGAATTCTCGATTTATCCAATTTTCCTCCTCTTTCACCGTTCGTCAATACCAACCGATACAACACTTGTAAAACTATTGTTCGCCTAAACGTGTTGAATGTTTATTGGTATTACGGAGAGAGAAGTGCTTGGAAAAAAAATATCTCGTTACAATTCTTTTTTCCTTCTTTTTTTTCGTCTTTGTTCTTGTTTCTCCTTTTTTTTCGACGATGAACACGGCTATTTATGAAAGTACATTCGCACAGACACGAACGAACGACACACACCTGCGAAAACAATACGACCATTTAATTACTCGCGGCTCGACCAAAATTAATTCTATCATCGCGTGCCGGGACGAAAAATTGTTGTTGCTCAAAAAAATATTCATTTCACGTGTGACGACGAGGCAGTAGTACAAACGAGAAAAAAGGCGTCAATCGTCCGAATCGGATTAATAAACCAAACGATTTTACGACGGAAAAAACGGGTGAAATATAAAAGCGGCGCATCGTCGAGATCGCGATAACAATAATACGAAGGTAAACCCGTTTAAAAGCTTTACGAAATTTTTAAACAGACGCTTCGATTCTACACGCACGCGCTGCATTTCGACCGACACTTTGTTACTTCTCTCGAACAGAGATCGATCCTGATTATTTCTAGTTGCGATCTGCGAAACGTTATTTCTCCGTGGCAGTATCAGCGTGGGCGATAATGGAAAGGTAAGAATATCTTGCAACGTTCGTTCGACCGTGTTCATCGAGATATTTGCACGATTGAACGACATCGAAGGCTGCGTAATGTCGGTGGAATTCTTTTTGCAGAGCACAATGCTGAATATGCCGACGTTGAGGTGTATGATTCACGTATCTTTCAAGCACATCAAATTTTCATTCCTTCCATTTCCTATGGATATATACCATAAAGATTAATAATTGTTCTGAGTATTAAAGTATAAGAACGATAGACTTAATTGTTAAAAAATATTTAAAAAAATCTCGTTAATAATTAATACTTCCTGCTAATATGTTAATATGTTTAACGAACAAAAGGATAGGTCTTTAATTTAGTAACGAATAAGGTTTCGTTCGGTTGTTCGTTGGTCTTAGCTTCAGGCAGTATTTAACTGCATCTGCCGAAACACGTGCTCCGGATAAAGCCGAGCTTTAGAACGTTCCGTGCCGCCAATCCGTTAGTTCGCCGAAAGATAGAGTATATACCCATCGACCAGTTAGCAGAATCCCTTCGAGCACGCGTCAGCCTATTCCGTTCCTCTTGCCTTAGGGTCTCTAGTTTATGGAAAACCCAGGGTCGGAGATCTCTTGGAAGGTAAACGCATACCCTGTTCCAAAATGCGCGTTGCTTTTGTTTCAATTTTAGTTATCACGCTGTTTGACATTGCACGAATTTTGTTTGAATATTCAAAACAGCTTCCTAATCTGAAAATGTGAAAATTCGGTTTGTGGCAAGAACGACATGAATTTTTTAGTCAGAACTTCTTTGAAAATTGATAATACAAATGATAATGTGGCGGTCATTGAATTACCGGGAAATTGAGGTGAAGTTTATTAATTGCTTATGACAGTCACTCTATCAAAGGCGGAATCGAATTAGTGATCGATAGGCGAAAGTGACGGACGTCAGAAGTGGTATTTGCACGAAATGTAAACTCTCGGGATGGTGGCCCGGCATTAGCCTCTAAACCGAGCAAACACACGCGGTTCCGAGCGATCGAGCCAGGCTGGGGCAATTTTAGAGCGGTGGAACTCGAGGGTGTAAAAGTCATCGGGCCCTCGATCTCTATCTCCATGGCAAACACTCAAAATTATCCACCCTGCAATGTGCAAATACGTCGTGGAGAATGTGCGTCCCCTTCATTCAATGCTTAACCTGAACAGGCATCGTTCCTTGGTTGTAAAGTGTGCAGATCGGTCAGGAAAACCCACGTGTCACCTGAAACTCGATTTTTCTTGCTTATTTTCGATCTACAAACGCGAATTTCTTTCGTCACTGACACAAAATGACACTAAGAATCGTATATTTAATTGCACCTACTAAGCGATTAGCGCCATGTTGCCTAACCTAACGCGTTGACAGATCACGTGACGCACTGTCGATAAAAAGGGCACACTTCGATGCGATTAATCGCGCCGTAGAGATTACTGACGTAGATACGAAAAAGCTTCACTTTCGAGAGAGAATCTCTGTCGTAAAAACGGCCGGAAAGTTTGATGGCATCGCAGCTAGGTTCCCACGTGTGGCGTAAACATTACATCGACGGAAAAACCATGGTCGAATGACGATTATTTCGATGGCAGGAACGCTAGTCGCACGCTCGAGCTACAACACTGTCTTGCTTTCCTCTTGTTCGCTTTTTCCCGCCCTTTCTCCCCCACTCCACGTTTCTCTTTTTTCTGTTTCTTCCCGCGTAACAGTTGCGGCCGTATTAGCGGTTCCATGCAATCATCAATTTCAAACAAGAGAACGAAAGAGAAAAAAAGTTTGGCCGTCGGCTTACTTAAACAAACAGTAAGCTCTACGAAATGGACGGAGAGAGAAAGAGAATCGACAGCGTAAACCTTCTTTTCCGACTTATGTATAACCGTTTTTTTCTACGCAACCCAGCAATCAGATGCACACTATGCCGAAACCTGATCAGCGAAAGCTTTCAAAATTGTGCGTAGGGTGAGATAGAAAACCGCAAGAAGGATTATAGATTAAAGTGAAAATACTAACAATTTCTTGATCTGTTTTCAGTGAACAATAAATTGTGTCTCTCTTTATCGA